AAGTCCTTAATGGGTCCATTTTACAAAAATTCAAGGTATGCAAATTGTTTATATCATTATTCTGACCATCTTTTGTTCAATATTGCTTTTCAAAATATTCCCCCTTTTCAAGATATAAAGCATCAAAGATTGACATTCTGGCCCCTTGTGACCCCTAATTACGCAAGATATGCTTAAAAGTTTATAATATATTGTTGCAAATGGTTTAAAATTCAAAAATATCGAAAAATCGAGCAGAAAAAATGATAAAATTTTTTGGTCATATGGGGGATCGAACCCGGGTCGCCCGCGTGACAATCCAACGCGCTAACCATTCAGCCATTGAGATCGCCGCCTCGCGTTTTCAAATGCTTATATCTCGAGATTGGCTTTTTCGATTTTCAAACAAATTACATATTTCGCTTCTGCAAAAGGGTCTCTATTCAAATCAAAAACAAAAATATAAAAAAAAGAAAAGTTGAAAAATTGCGTTTTTTAAATTCGCTTCCGGTATCGACCGGAAGTATTGACGACGCACGAAAAGGCGATTCTGCAACGCTATAAGTCATGAACTATCATCTCCAATTAATCTTCAGTTCATATCTTAAGCAGTTTTCGCAACTTAATCAAGACAAAATTGCATTTTAAAATCAGAAAATGCTCAATATCTCACGACCGGAAGTGACGACGTCAACGAAAAAAATTTCCAAGAAGGTTAAGATCAGTACCTATCAGATGTTAAAGTTTCATGAGAATCGGCCCAGTAGTTTACGAGAAATCGCGTGCACAAAATTGGTAAGAAAAATAATAATAATAGGGAAAAAGAAACTGAAGAATAACAAGAAGGTCTTCCGTTGGAGACGGAAGACCTTAATTCTTATGTCAATAAATTTATCCAGGTGAGCTTGAGAAAAATACCACAGAGTCTGATACACCTTTTCATATCTGGATATTTTACTTAAAAAAGACTTTAATGGTGATCTAATGACCAAGCTCTTTGAAAAAACGTAATGATTTTAACCTTTCTATCGTCAACTTTCCTTACTTATGCAACAATATACCTTCATCACCTGCATACGGAGTTTATGTTTCTCAGTTGATTCGTTACACAAGATGCTCTACATACGAACAATTTCTAAAAGGAGGAACATTTTTGACAAACAAGTTGATGAAACAAGAATATCAGCAGTCTCGTTGAATGAAATCATTTTGTAAGTTCTATGGTCGATGCAGTGACTTGCAAATACATTTTACTCGTTGAGTCAAATGCTGAATGACTTTTTCATACTAATTGTGGTCCATAATTTATACTCTGAATTGAACACAGAATTTTTCTGTTATTTCCCAATCATGACAAGTTGAAGACGGCAGGTGTGACCGTTCGGCATGGGATGCTCATTTCTCCATGGCACCGGATCCCACTTCAGGAGGTTCTGGAGGTCCGTGTTTGCTCTATTCCTATTTAGTATTACTATATGAAATATTAATATTGAATACTGTTTGTTGTCTTCATATTTTTCATTGGATTCACTGTAATATATTGCGCTTCTATGATATATCAAGTTACTCTGATGTATCGAGTTACTGTGATAAATCAATTTTAATGTGATATATCGAGTTACTCTAATGCATCGAGTGAGTTTGATACATCGAGATACTCTGTGTAATATATAGAAATGTGAATGAAAGTTATTTTAAATTTATAAAACGTCGATATATACGTTGTCGGTAAATATAAATGGCGAGCTTGTGACCAAAGCAAAAATTTCCTACATCGTACCTAGAGAAGTCTAAGTTTTGCTTCTTTAGGATACAAAAGCAGGTCAGCTAAGAATGGATTGTTAATAAATATATTTCAAGGATAGCCTATCACACCCAAATATTGGGCATTTCAAACCAACATCTGAATCACTTTTTCGAAGAATGCAATATTTCCATTATAGTAAACATAATAAAACAATGTTAATAAAAAAGGATGTATACGGTACAGATGTTTTCATTAATATACTGTGAGCTAATTTGAACTTGGAATCAAGTGATGAACTCAGTCGTTTAATAATGTTAAAGTTGAACGACTTATTGTATAAACACGTGAAATTATAATGTGAGAGTAGGCAAGAAAGACTAGAAGAATTATTCAATGAATGATTTGACTTTATTTTTATAAATCAACTAAAGTGTAAGAGATCTTATTATTTCTTCATTGTGCCAGGCATATAATACATAATACATGTGAAAAGTCCACAAAATTATTTTTGACAGAATGTAATGGAAAAGTTGTGTTGTCATATATTTTGTTGTCTACAATAGTCATGAGTATATACTTGTTTCTTACAGAGTAAAAAAATTCTTTTACTGGAAATTAAAAAAAAATTAAATCGATTTGATGAAACCAAGTATAAGGAGTAATCTATATGAAGGGCGCGTCTTGATTGAGTTTTCCTAACTAGTCTCCGACAAATTATTCAATCTATATATGTTAACATTTCTCATTTTAAAAAATACCATTTGATATCATTTAATGCAAATATTTTGAACTGACGATTGAGGTAGACTTAAAGAAACCGCCCCGATATAATCTCGCATCTGTATAAAAGATGAAAACAGAACAAGAAAGAAGACAGACCGTAGTGAGAAGCAGCGACTTTGTACGTAAGATATCTTTTTCAGCTCATTCCACGGATATGATTTTTTTATTTATTATTTTCACTTTTTTTCAAAATATTATTTGATTTCTTTGATGATAAGGTAATCTAACAGGTTACAGGTTATATAAGCTACGGATATATACACTTATTAAATTATCAAATATTTTGCATTTTTATAATTCTATTTATTTCATAAGCATGGAAATATCAAAATTGTCTTGTCGCTTGAGATTAATATATTCAAAGTCTATTATCAAAACTGAAATAACTGTAATCTATTTGAAAAGTATTTTTGTTTCCTTTGGACCTGTTCTGCTTATAATACCATCATTAATTTCTCCAACTTCTAAAGAACTTATAGAAAAAGATTAAATTGGTTAAGATTGCATATATCGATAGCATCAAAGCATGAGTTTTCAATACTTTTCCATCCGCTCTTCAAGATAAGTGAAATCAAAGACAACTGCTTCAATGGAGAATGTGATTTTTTTAATGAAAATACTTGTATGTCTAATGAAATTGAATTCATCTTTAAATCTAATTCTTATTCTAAAACAAATTTCACAAAATTAATTTTAAAAAACAGTAGAACCTGCCCTTTTCCGATTTTTTTTCTATTTTGTAATACAAGACATGAAGTTACAATTATTATTATTTAATTTTATCTATGTAATAACTGTTCATTATCTTTCATTTCTTTTCTCCGTATTGTTTGCTTTGTCACACAGGGCAATTCTAAAAAAGGCGTTTCCAACACGTAACAGAGGGGTAAAAATCCCTTAATTAAAATTTTCGGTGATGTACTAGTTTGGGAAAAATATAAAAAGCTGTATATTAAGAGGTTTTTAAAATTAAGGTTATTTCCCTCTTTCATACCTCTGACCCTATACCTCGTTGTTGGCTTAATTCTCTTTGGTGCCTCTTTTCTCAGTTTTTATTTATTAAGTTTCTTTTGAAGAGATATAATTTGTCTAAATGTTTATCTGGTACATTAAAATTATTGCAATATTTTATTTCAATATAAGATCTTATTTTATCTTTAAATGCTTAATTACCTCCTGTCTCTTCCATTGTGTTACCTTTTCACTCTTTTAATATTAGTTATTGTATTTTCATTGGCTGAAGATTCTCGTTCATTTCAGGAAAAAAGTATAACTTTTATTTCAAAGTTATTAGAATATATATTTACACAGTTGACTTGTTTTTCAGATCCATTCTGGAAAGTTTTTTCAAAAGATTTATCCGTAAGAGACTTAGTAAATAATAAGTTATACCGGTATTAAAAATCAATATATCATCTACACTATAATCCTCCAATAAAATATACACTATAATCATCAAAGTATATTCAGCAGGCTAGTGAAAGGACTCATTTATGCGAATATAATAATCCGTTGATGAGTGTACATCCGTAAAAAAAATGATCTTGAAATATCTTGTTACTTGTAGTTATCAGCATTTCATTAAAAGTAAAAAAGAAAAAAAAACATAGCATTTTTATACTGACCTTTATTGATGGCATTAATGCAAAAAATGCATGAATGCACTTATTTCGAAAATTCTTTTTAGTAATTTTTTTTCGGAAGACAATGGTTAATCTTGTTTTTGTAAAATATTTTTTAAAAAACCCACTGCTTTTCAATAATTTAAATATTTGCTGAAAATGAAAAATAGAATAACTAGCAATAATCAATTTTAAAGGTTAATTTGAATAATACAGATTGGAGAAAATACACCAAAATGGGTCTAGGTAATATTGACCAGTTACTAACCCCGTACCTATCAGTGATACACGCTGTTAGCTTCTTGACATAATCGAGCCAAAAGAAAATTCCGAAGATGATGCATTTTCAAAGTGATTAACCAATAGTATGAACGTGAGACAATTCTTACTTGTAACTTTACAGTACTGTTTACACTCGCTGGTTTATCAAAGAATAAAGTCTTTTAAAAAATTTTATCTAGCTTACTTCATGCTTTCATTAAAACTATTTATCTTCGGCTATTCAAGATCTTTAATTTGTCTCAACATTAGTATAATCCTTTCATTGAAAGAACTTTACGAGGAAAAAAAAGATAATCATGTTTTTTTTCTTTGTAACCAATCTTCCAATGGTGTGCCATTACAATATCAATTTGAACCAAAAAATGCAACGAAAATCAATTTACAAGTGATTGCCAAGATACCATTTCATACTTTAAATTATTTCTAAGAAAAACTTTATCATGAAAGATAAATTTCGTTCATAGTTTTGTCTTTTTTTAGGAATGGCCTTAATTAGAATAAGAAGGATAAGACACATGGACCTTTTTGTCTGGATGATGTTAATGTCTACAATTATTGTCACCAATATAGTAAATCTATCAAACATGATGGCAACAGATCATTTCGTACCTCCTTTCTTAACTATCGAGGAGAAAAGCTACACCAATAACACTGTACATAAAAACCAAGACACAGATACCACAGTTAAGGAAAATCAAGAGACCAACAACACTGTCGAGGAAAATCATGACACCAGTCTTGCTACTGAGGGAAATCATGACACCAATACTACCACTGAGGGAAATCATGACACCAAAATTACCACTGAAGAAAATCCCACTGTAGTGGAAAATAAAGAAACAAGTGAATCTTTGGAGAGAAGTCAACACTCCAATACCACTGTGGCAGAGGGAGGCCTCCAGTTGATGATAAATACGAGCTGGCAGGATTCGAACACTGATGAGCTGAATACGTTGACTAATGATAATAATGACACTATTGGAGGTCCACGTGTTTTTGATTGCTCTCTTGTTAAGCATTTAAACTTGATCTTGGCATTGGGTAAGAAAATGCCTTTATATGTCGAAGTCATTGCTGTTGTTATTGCTGTACTAGGGATAATTGGCAACATAGCAACAGTTATCACAATTATTGTGAATATGAAACTCCGAAAGCCTTATTTCCTTGCTTTGTTAAGCCTTGCAATTGCAGACTTGTTTGCACTGATCCAAAGCAGTGTTATTCTTTTTTATGAATTTGAAGTATTCATGTATCTGCAATGTTTGAAGCCAACATTTGTTATTAACATAGCTATCATGATTTCTGTAGAAATGAACGCTATATTGAACATCCTTCTCATTGCTGTCGTAAAGTTCCTACTTCTTGTCTATCCAATTAAAAGTAAGACGTGTCTGACTAATCAGCTAGTCATTCTGATGTGTCCTGCAATGATGGCTGCAAGTCTTTGCTATGGTTTTGCCTCTTCTTTTGGGATGATGTTATTGCCTTTAGATTCAGAGCGCCTTCTTACGCAAATTCCTGTACAAGTTATCAGCACTGTTTTGCCCTGTTTGTTTATCATTGTGATGCACATCATCAAAGTTGTCAAAATGGGAAAATCAAAAGCTCTCCAGAAGGAAGTGAAAACAATGAATTCTGTTCTTGTTTGTATTATTTCTATCTTTCTTGTCTTTAACCTTCTGAAAATAATCAATCCTTTGGTAAACACCTTTACAAGAAACATATTGATCTCGCAGATATTGCACATCACCATAACCATTGCTGCACTATTCAATCATGCTGCAAATCCTTATATCTACCTAGCCTTTACTCCTCTCGTTCAAGTACCATTACAAAGGTTTTTGGAAAGATTTAGAACTAGAAAGTAGCGATTACCTTGTACACATGTTTCTGCTTCTAAAGAGAAAGAAGCCAACCCCAACAATGAAATTTTAGATAGAGAGATACTCATTTCTTTTTTGTTAGGCTGAGAGTCTGTTGGTTCTATGTCTGTTTTTCTGTTTGTATGTTAGGTTGCTGGAAATTTCAAATCGTTTTCAGTTTCTAAATTGTATCGAATGATCTAGTAGCCCCTCATTTAATTTTACATCAATGGAGAGTTTATACTTAGTGTTTTTATTTTTTTTTTATGTGTTACTATAGATAACAAACCTAAATACAAAGATATGACCAGCTTTTTCTACATTTCAGAGATACACTGTATACCAGTACATTGCAGTAAAAAAGGTTGCATTTTGTTGCATTTGTTACCCTGCGGTAAAACTCGAGTTTGAGTTTACCGCTGCGTTGGTTGGATTGATATCCTCTCGTGTTGTGGGATCGAATAAATGTATTTTTCTATGTTTTAAGAATATATGTTGTGCGTTTGTAGCGTTTTATTTATAACATGCAAAGTAAACAAATTGATGCTAATTAATTAGAATCAATTTTTTTTTGTTTCGAACCATATATATGAATATATATATGTATTGATTTTTTAACAATTTATTTTTTTGCCCTAGTATCAATGTTGTTATTTGGTTGAAGGAGATGTTTTTGTGAATACCGCAATTACTTCTTTTGTAAGTGAATACGCTTTTTAAATGTTGTACTGTTCTAAGAAATCCATTACTTTTTGTAAATTTTACAGCATCTTGTGACCAGGTCTCAAATTCTATCTTTTTTGTTATTCTTCTGCATTTTTATAACAAGTGATCACATTTAATTATGTATATTTTATGTAATTTTCTGTATGAAAGTTGATTAGAACTTTTGAAAAATAAATTCAATGTACAATAAATTTCTTTTCTACTTCTACCGTTGATTCTTTATTGTTTCTTCAGAGAGAACAGTGCCTGGTTAGAAGAACCAGTATGAAATCTGAAAAAGATCACAGCACTGAAAAATGAATTAATAATGATTAAAGAAATTTATGTAATTTCCAGGAACCTATTTAAGTCAGGTTTAAGCTTAGGATTGGTGTATATCTGTAATTATGTAGTTAAGGAAAATGATGAATCAGATGATGGTATCCATTTTATTTATCGAAGCATAAGAAAAACATTGACCTATAACGAATATAAAGAATACATCAGAAGAAAATACATATAGTTTTATTAACATTGACAATAAGTTTCCTTTTACGCAGCAAACATATATTAGGCTGTTTAAAGTTAATTCTACGTTTAACGTCACATCTAAATTTCAAAACCTACGAGGGAGGGAGGAAAAAAATAAACAAACAAAATTTTCAAACAATTGTGAATTTATTCAAACTAACCTATTCACTACATTAAAAACATTACAATTAAGTAATAAAGAGCATTTAATTGATAAGACACCTAAGATAAATTTCCATAGCAGATATTTTTCTTAGTATGTAAATCAGTTTGAGTACTATTGTTAGCAAACAATGTATTCTAAGACTGAATGTGCAGGAAAGTGACTTTTATCTAGGCTTCAATTGTCCTTTGGACTTATATTGCCACACGTCCATGGTACCCTGGAGGCAAATGCTAATTCTTCTTATGGGAATAGTTGATCAATATCTACAATTAAAATTATTGATGACAATATTTAAAACTGTTCATGTTGAAATATCTCAAATTGAATTATGTTGTATTTTTTCTTAGTACTACATCTATTAGCATTAAGTTTTGAAAGTGTGAATACTAATATCTGGACCATAATGATAGCTGTTAGATTATTTTTAATACCTTGAATTCCACACTAAGGACAGGATTCTTCACGTCTTGGAATACCCCAACTTCTTTCCTTACTCTCCTTCACTTGAAAGGCCCTATCTTCGGTAAGCTTCTCCCTGCTCAAATGGTTAAGACAAGTATTATCTTTTCCAAAAATTGTAGCTATTTGTAGGTATATGAATTATGAAAAAATCAATTACTTTACTCATTACTGTTCCTTTCGATTTTTTTACAGAAATATTTTTAATATGAAACATATCAAATAAGATTTGAATGATGCTTTTCACTGTATATAGATCTTGTTTTTTTGCCACACTTTCCACTCGGTAAAAAAGTTTTTCGATTCTCTCCAAAAAACAATGAAAAGTTCAGCCAGTAGAATCACGAACTGAGAGTCTGTCACTGTCAGTTTGAACATGTGATTCGAAGACTGACAAAAAAAATCAACAAACTAGACCTTGTCAATTAACTTTGAACAATCAAAAAATCACCTTTTTTACTTACATTTATGGTCCCAAACTCTTTAATTCACTAGTTTTCTTTAATAAGACACCAACTGCCTTTATCAAAGCACATTTTCTGTCACTACGGGAAGCAGAATTCAGTCGCTAATTGTAGAACCAAACCGGAACAGACATACGGAATTCCGAATTGTTTGTTTTTTTCAAAGACGAATTTCTCATAAACCTACGCGCGCGGGTGACGTTAAACGTAGTTTTAATTTTAAACAGCCTTAGAAAGAAAAAGTTCTATAACAAAATGAAATAAGAGATTAATACATTTATATAAATTTACTCAGACAACTTTAACTTTAATTTATAAATAAACTTCGCAATTAAAATAATATTTCATACCCAAATCTTCAATAGAAAGTAACAAATAATTAAATATGAGAGTAACATACCACAAGATGCATCTGATATCAGCTGGATAGATAATTCATTCTTTAAATGTAAAACTACCCAATTTTGCTTAATTTGAACGCTTTCTTACAATCAAGGTAAATTAAAACTACTGGACAATATCAAATGAACCAATGAAATTGAAGATAAAAATATTTAAGATTACTTTAGATGAAACATAAAATAGAATGAAGTTAAAACGAATAAATACATAAGAGTAAAATCATAAAAGTAATTATTGTTTAACATATTGTTTAACATCCCATCCGAGAATTTTTCACTCATATAAAGAAGTCACCGTATGCCGATGATGGACTTTAAATTAAGACCTTTACTCGACACTCATGGCCATTTAGAAGTGATTGTTATTTATCGTACCAGCGGCTACCGTGCCACAAGACATATATGTACGTTTTTAAGGTCATACCGGGATATTCGAAAGACCCGTGACTTTCGCTCCTAGGACTTTCGCTCCTAGTGCCGAGCGCTTGGCGAAAGAAAATTCACTACCTATGTTGACGTCTTAAGATCTTAGTAATTGCCGGGGTTATTCCAATGCGAATAAATATTAGTCATCGTTAAAAATATTTACGGATCTTTGTTTTCCTGTTCTCTGAAACACTCTTCAATTTTTTTTTCAAAAAGCCCTAATATTTTTTTTCTGAAATTTGAAATCGTCCATTTGTTTCTAAAAATTATTTAGCAACATCGAAATGTTTGAATTTTCTACACTGCATACAGTGCACGAAATATTTAAAATAACTAGACGTTGATATTATCGAAATCTCTTCACTAGAATAAACATCAGATATTTCCGTAACTTTTGATCATGCCAAAATTTTTTCTTTAAAGAGAACACTTGAGTCCAAAAATATAATGGACGAAATAAATGAAAAAATTTTATATCTTGTAAGTACCAACAAAATTTGTTGGTAAAGAAAACATTTAAATCAAACACAAAGATATTTTAAATGAAATATGCAGAGATCACGAACATTTTTTACGCTCAAAAGTCAATCAAACAGTACAAATTTTGGAGCACAACAAACATGGACCTTAAAACAACAGAGGTGGGATCAGGTGCCATTGAGAAGTAAGCATCCACTACCGTATGCTCCTTGCAATGATCGGAAAATATTAGAATAACCCGTTGACAAGTTGTTTTGTAATAATTAATGACCAAGTTATTTTATCGATGGTAAAACTAACGAAATGAAGAGAGGGATTTTACAAGTATATAGGAATTCCTCCTTAACAACATTGAAAAAATGAAAAAAAGATATGAGTTAAATTATTTTAAAACCGATTTAAAGATCTAGGTTCTATTTATGCAAAAAGTAATCCTGAACTTATATAATTTGACTGGCTATCACCCTCTGTCCCATTTCTTTTGTTTTATCCAGGCAGCAATGCAGCGCATTTTCAGGGGGGGGGGGGGGCAACTGAACATATATGGATAGATTTTTCCATGTTTTGAATTCTTATTCTATAGTCTGATTGATCCCCCTTTTTCTATGTACATGTGTTTGTCAGATCTCTCATCATGTAATTAAAATATTTTGGATCAGAGATTGTGCTCTATATGTAAAATTAAAAAACTTCGATTGTTTGCTTTTTTGAAAGAAAATAGAGAGGTTTAGCAAGCTCACTTGTACGTGTACATGTACGTGTAAACTACAAGTTAGAATTACACGTACACGTTAACATTTTTTTTTCTTGTTTATCAAAGCATAACCTGTAGTTAAAAAAGTTAAAAAATCATCCGAAAAAACACTTATTTTAATACGTATATCACCGTTTTACATAAATATATGCATGTACTTATGAGAAAAAGATTGTACAGATTTCTTATGTTCTTAATAGGTCACAGCTTGTTTCGAAAATCTAGATGTTGTGATTTTAACTCCCTATAAATTAATAATTTTCAATTACTGACGTCCTGTTCTTTTATCAGTATTTGCATTAACTATTCAGGTTTTAGAAAAACGCACACTTATTGAAAAGTAAACAGAAATTAAAGAATTAAAAGCTTCAAGTTTTGACTTACGTGTACATGGCAATCTACACGTAACCTTCGTAAGAGGATACGTGTAGAAATTCGTCATTAGCGAAAGTGATGACGTAATGCACATATTTGATTTGCTAAACCTCTCTATTTACAGTATAAGGTAAAAATGAGACATTTTATGACGTCATAATGTATTGACTAGGAGGGAAATTACATAATCTTCAATTGATACATGGCCACCATGTTTCTAAGTCATAAATACTGAATTTTCAAGCAAAACTAAGCAGTTTTGATTTTTCAGATACACGTATTGACAGATCAAATGAGGCCCAAAGTAGCTCTTTCTCTTTAGAATCTCTAACAAGGGACGAAATACAATCCTCGTTAATTTCCTTTTTTGGAAGACTTACGCCATGCTAATTATGACTTCTTGATAACGGAGGTAAATGACGTCAGAACACAAATACAAATCAAAACAAAATGTCAAATGCACTGGCAATTTAACTTTTAAAAAAGAGGATTAATAAAATATATGGAGATAACAACCAGTACCTAATTACACCAAAAGTAATACATTAAGCGCACAAATAACCAAATAGACTAAATCAGTGTTTTATAAAAGACATGTTTCTTTTGTCATTTCAAGTAATCATTTATTCCTATGTTCTTTAAAAATTATCAAACAGAAATAATGTTGAATCAAAGTATATGTTCGTGTTGTTCATGGTATGGCTTAACCTTTTTTGAATCGCCAAGTATACTTTTATTACAGACGCCTGAAATACTTTGCATCTCCTCTTAAAGAATTTAATCGCGTGTACCCTTTGCCGAAAAGCTTAAAAGGAAATTTTAACGTGTTTCCTGGAAAAGAAATCCAAATACGCGAGTCCAGGGTATTGTTCGTTGACATTACAATGCCGTTGCAAATAAGCATAGCGACACGAATGAATTGTTGAAGAAAAGAAAGTTTTCAGAGCTCTGTCATCGCCTATATTCACTTGATCTTATCCAATGTGAAATATTTTTATTCCAAAGAAGCATTAAAGCATTTAAAGGAGGATTGAACAATATTTCTTGATCATGACAAGGTGTGACCGGTCGGCAGGGGATGCTCACCTCTCCATCGCACCTTATCCCACCTTTGATGTTTTGGTAGACCGTGTTTGCTCTGCTCATACTTTGTATTGTTTTATTTAAGGAATGTTTTTCAGTTTTGTGTGAGTTATTGGTGTGTGAATTACACAGACTTGTCACGTAGGCATATTTCATGAAGCGCGCTAGCGCTTCATGAAAAATATGCCTACATGCAAGTCTGTGTGATTCACACACCAATAATTCACACTAAACTGAAAAACATTCCTTACATTTACGTTTAACACGTTCGGAAGCAACTAAAATATACTCAATATTTGAATTTCTCGCTGCCCTATATCGCTGCATTTTTACTAACGTCGGTTCAGCCTCATTGTGATGTCACGTTAACGCACGTTTCTCCGTGTATATTTCTACATAAAAATGACTTGCATATCAATTTCACAGTTGGCTTAGAAGAAAAACACAACGAATGTAAATATTGACTTTTGATCTTGAACATTGTTCTATGTTTCACAATATCTGATGTTACAAGCTATTAAGATTTTATATTTATCAGAGTCTTTCGTCCCTCCCTAAGGATGAGTACGCTGTAGTGTTCTGGATATGTATTTTTTAACTTTTCTTACTTTTAGATAATTTTTTGTATTATCTTTAGAACACTCTTCGTATTTACAGTGACTATTGAAAAACCATGTAGATCGTCACGAGCTCTGCCTTGCGTAACAATCAAATTGGACGTCACCATCTCTATTTATTCTCACCATGTTAAGGACATCAACATCAATGTAAAGCGTAAGCGTTAATAGGATACAAAATCATGAATGAGCGTCAGGAACAAAAATATGATTTACTGCAATTGAGAATCGAAGGTCAAATAGAACATGGGCTTCTTTGACACATTTCAGGAAATAATTCAGATAAATGGGAAATAATAAAATGAATAATGAGAATTTATGTACAATTATTTTCAAAATATTAAGAGTTCTGATCCAAATGAACATATAATTGGATTAAAATAATCCGAGTATAAAACAATTAATATAAAAATACAGAACTGTATGACCATATATTTTCTCATTTTATTGATATGTTTTAAAAAGAGATGTGATGTCAAACATGAAAGCGCATGAGCTAATTGACCTTACAGATTTATATAATAAGCATAATAATTCAAATAAGATATTGGAGGTGGAATTAAAAATAATCTGTGTTCCTAGATAATAGTACTATAATTCTGTATCTGAACAAAAATTGGCTTATTCAAAATTAAGCGCAGTCACTGGGCATTGAATAATTGGCGTGTTCATGAATTAGCGATACACACTACGGCGCCGTATATTGTGTTTATTGGTACGGCCACACCCGTTGAGTCACCCTTTTCATGATCGGAAAAATCCATGGTCAATTCAGTGTGTAAATAATGGACTAACAATTAGTATGAAAAAAATAATTCAGTCAGCTTTTGAATCAATGATATATAAATTGTATTTGCTGACAAGGACATTGTATCAACCATAGAACTTATGAAATTATTACTTTAACGAGACTGCTGATATTCTTGTGTCATTAACTTAACTTGTTTGTCAATAATTTCCCCTATTTTAGAAATTGTACATAAGTAGAGCATGCTCTTGAGTACATGTATGTATCTGACCAATTGAGATGTATAAACCCCGTGCGCATTCCAACAATTAGTTTGAAAACGTTTTCTTTATTATCTGCTTTGGTACTGAGGAGCTCCAGCAATTTTAACTTCAGAGTATTAAAATATCTTGGATCAGAGGTTGTGCTCTATTTGTAATACTAAAAAAACATCGATTGTTGGCATTTTTGAAAGAAACTTACAGGATAAGGTAAAATGACGTATTTCATGACGTTATAATGTACTTGGGAAAAATTACGTATTACTAATCTTCTTTACTCATCGGAAAATATTTAAAACTTTAAAGGCTAAACTTTAGTACTACCGTGAAAAAAGGTATTCTAGACGTTTTTTAACCAACAATCAAACTAAAGAACTACATGTAGAGAACTTTTAGAAAATGTGAAATAACGAAATGTCACTCAAACTAATAGAATAAAAACATATGACTTTTTACAATTTATACATCCATTATTCGATCACGATTATTTTGTGATCAATTATAATAACTATTAAAATAATAAAATGTATAAAAAGAAAAAAGAACGGTAATCAAGATTACAAAATGAATGGTTCACGTTCATCTCTACTGATATTCATAAAATTACACGGGAACTTCACGAGAATACTATCACGGTGTGATTTTTGAGAAAAACAATTTTAGTGACATTTTAGCTGACTTTGAAATATACTCTTAATTTACTGTAATTATTTTAAACAATTTGAGAAACTTTAATTATGCTAATTACTATGTAAATCCGAATCTGGAAATTAATTATTTAATCTATTTACTCAACATGTCATGAGTTATTCCATCTAGGCCATCTGTCACTCATGCTCAGAATTGTGTTAATAGCCATTGTTATATTTTATTATTTTTATGTAACATGTATCATTATTAATAAGTTAACTCCGAGGCTTCGGATTGTTCGGGTGCAATTTTTGCATTTCCAGAATTCACCCTACCGACCTAAGTTTATAATAAAGTGCTATTCCATCGATAGCATTTTTATGTTTCACTGTTGCCGGAAAGTTTGACACTTATTTTCCCCGATGATAATTCCATTCTAATACAAATTAACCATTCAGACCCAATGTTCAAAGTAATATTTCTCGACCATGCAGGTCCCCAACATTTTGCAATCTTTCTCTCCTTTACCATCTTTTTCAAAAAATACAATGCAGCAACAACAACAAAACAATATGAGAGTGACTCCGTCATGATTAGCGACCACTATGGACTAGACAGGAGAGTGAACATGTATTATAGGACATGGACACAGTTTCAGCTAAAAAAAAAAATTAAAAATTATTTACATTTTTATTTTTTTATTTTTGGTTTATAAATACTTGACTATCAGGCATTTCTAAGGATAATCATAAAAAGTGAATTTCAGTTGTCGATATACAAGACAGATTTAGAGCTCCAAACCTTTTGTAATGTAAACAAGGCAGTGTCATGTTTTTGTTTACATAGGTTAAACATACTTTTACCTATATATTTTCGTTGAAAGCAGATTTTTTCAATAAAAAATTTAAATGCTGAATACAACTCGACAGGTTCTAATTACGGTTTTATTACATGTATAATTGCGATATTTTCCATATGTAACGAAACATATAGAGATAACAAACAGTATTCAAGATCAAAAGTCCATAAAACAACACAAAACAGAAGCAGAGCAAACACGGACCTCCAAAACATCAGAGGTGGGATCAGGTGCCATGGAGGAGTCAGCATCAACAAAAGCAAGGCACGAGCCTTGTTATCATTTTGAAGAATTATAAGTTCTGTATCTCCTTTGTAAATCCTTTGTAAATTAACAGATAATATTTAAAATTTTGCTGATCATTAGAACTTCCTTAGTTACGAATTGTAAAGATAAAAATCGGCTTTAAAAAATCAGTCGAAACTGTGTCCATGTAAAGTTATAATAGTACACAATAACCAGCACTACAAACTAGGAAATAAAAAGCTACATTACTCTCTAGGAAGTTCAGGATTGTACATTTCTGCAAACCCTCCTTATTAAACGACACAATTTTTGTCGTTCAAATCAAATTTTGGTGAAACTTTGAATAAATGTTTTTGTTTTTTTTAAATATATGAGGTTAAACTTATTCATTTTTTCACATGTTATCCTGACTAAATTGGTTATTTTCATTTTTTTTTATTATAAACGTTTGCTTGTATCATCTGCCCTTAAGGCAATCTGTGATAATGGAAGGACTAGAGGGACTGGCACACTGAATTTTGACTCCGACTAGCAAGTCCAAGGACAGTATACTTGACTCCTTATCCTACAAGTAAAAAATTCCGGTGCAGCGAAAAGTTATATTTTTATAATTGCTTCTTTTTGTCCATATTACCTAATATATAATAATTATTTGTACAGAAAAAGTCTTAACTATTCTATGAGTCTCGCTTGAAATTGCTTAATCACTTGCAATTTACCTCTTAAGGAGCTGTTAACCGTATAAAATTATAATTATTATAACTGCGTCGCAATGTATGAGTCCTATATAAGAGACTGTTTATAGTTTATACCAAGGAGACGTCTGACTAAATTCGACAGAATAAAATATTAGACATGAGTCCTCTCTATGTTTTATTGGGTTTCTTTGTCCTCGGAACATCTGGGACTATGTGTGAGGACAGAAACTCCTGTTCCAATTCACTGTACCAGTATGAAAACTGTCTGAAAACACATGATACAGCAGTGGGAAACAGAATTGATACTTTGGAAGCGGAGGTGGAAAAACTAAAAGAAGGTATGTTTTATTGAATATCAAAATTAGCAGAATTTAATTTAATTTAAATTTTACGGAAGAATTTACTCAATTAATCAATACTTTGTTGCATGCATGCTATCTGACAAATGGAGAGGGACTGGCATACGCTATGTATGTTGGGAGAAAATCATTAGTTAAAGATTAGAAATCTCTCTTACTTCTGTTGGATGTTTGTTCATGTTTTCTCTTTAAATATTTAAAAAAGACTTATGGCGGGAGATTATAAAAGTCATGTATTTTTAATTAAATGATTTTCTATGACCAGTAGCGAACTTTGTTTTTTAGGTCTGTGTTCTTCACTGCTTCTGATTATATTGTTTTACGGAGCTTGAATACTATTCGCTCTCTCATATATTTCATTTATTATGTGTTGTAACTGATTTTTTATTTTTTCAATAGCTGCCACGCCTCTGGTCTCATTTTTTGCCGGTCTTAAAGCCGATTTCCAGTTGGTCACGGGGCAAATGAACTTTGACCATATGTTGCTTAACGAGGGTCATGCTTACAACTGCTCAACTGGTGTGTTTACCTCCCCCGTGCGCGGCGTCTACTCCTTCACGCTCACCATAGGAATGCCCACCCCAGAATCAGCCAAAGATTACCTTCGACTGAGTATAATGAAGAACAAAGAACGTGTGGGTTACTTGTATATCGAGTGGGAGGGCATGTGGCTGAAGAGGTCAGAGGTCACCATTGTCGAGCTCCGCCATGGAGACCAAGTTTATGTCCAGATCGACGATGTTCCGGCAGGATTCACAACAATAGGAGGACTTCCCTATTACTCTCACTTCTCAGGATTCTTAATCGGCAAGAGCAGCTGTGAATAAAAGACTTTATTGCTCACTTAGGCACCAAACCTGGATCATGACAACCGAAACGTTATCAGTAAGAAATCTGTGAAAAAACTATATATAATAGATATATTGATTCAATCACTGAAATTTTAATTTTATTAAAGACTCATGATATTAATTGCTTGTTAATTTTCCTTTCAAAATTCACACTACCGGTATATTGTTCTAAAAATAGGACAACAGTTCTCATTTTGAAAAGAATTACTGTTTCTTCCCAAAGATATTTAAATTTATCGCTGTCATTCATTTCTAAAAATGTGTTTGACAAAGGCCAAAAAACGAAATATCTGTGGAAAATTAAAAATATCTTCATTCATTTGAGTAAATTCAGGCATTGAACTTATGCCGAATACAGTTCTGTATTAAATAATAACAGTTTGAGGCCCATTAATGTAATATTGTATGAGGCATAAATCGTACTTATTTAAGGTAGGATTCTTCTCTGGTTTCTGACTAGATGGAATATTCAAAGTACATTTGTTGATATGTCTTATATATTTAGATGTAAGAGATTTAAAAGACCATATTTTTCTTTCCTCATCACAATTATACAACTTTAGATAGAAATGGTAAAATGCGTTTGAAAACTAGCATGGACTATATTTTTGGTAGAATGGTGGCGTATGAAAATATCTTCTTTTCTGTCTCTCAAATTATTATAGAACATTGAATTTAGTTATAATTTTTACGCAATCAAAGACTAGACGAAATTTACAAATGTAAGTTAAATTTATAATAAGGGACAGAGTTTCAAAATATATCAAATGAATAAGATTTTTCACAAATACTAGAACTATGTTGGCTTTTAAATGCTTCAAATCTAAGTACAGATTTGAACCTAAAATTCGTAAAAAGTGTTATTTCTCTCTTAGTAAACGATCAAAACTTTTAGTTTTTATATCATTTTGTACCTTTATGTGACAACTTTACTATATGTGAAAATTTGAAAAAGTTAAATAAAGGAAGCATATAACAATAACTAATCAATCCTAAAAATTTAAGAAAAGTAGAGGAAATTCGGATTAGCAAATATCCATTTTATTTCAATTATCCATGTCAATTTGGTAATATCATCTTATAGGCCCTATATGGTAGTATCTGTTTATGCAAAAAGAAAAACATTCAATCTTTTGAATTACAAGTAGTGATCGCATGATTGGAAACAGTAATTTTTTATTCTTAATGTCCAGGAAAAAGGTAATGACCTTGACCTGACCTTGCCACTAATATTAAACGGTCAATTTTAATCTCACTGATACCATCACTTAGTGATATTGTCCTCTTGATTCTGTGAAAATGTCATTAATTTTTAAATACAAGAAATGTGAGAAGAATCCTACCTTTAAACATAGCTTTTTGATTTACCTGAGACAGCCCGATATAAGAACAAAAGAGTAGACAAAAGTCAACAGATTGTTGGAAGACCTGATCTCCAAAAACTACATACTGTACGTTGATATTGTCAATTAGAAAATCAAATATCTTTTTAATACCAATTTCAGAGTATTTGCGTGTATAATCAGAATGTTTTTAACAAATTAATATTGCAAATCACCAATGACAAGATAAGTCAGTGAATTTACGAGTACCGTTTTTTTTTATTGCGAAAGCAGTTTTAGTGTCAGAAAGCCTGGACTTCATTTTATCGTGGGAATTATTGTTGTTGAGAAGTCGTAATTTGTTATGCTATTGATTTCGGTAAAATTGTGTGATATCAAAATTTCCAAAAGTTACTTTGAATTATAAATTATCCAAATCTGATTACATCACTTCTCGAATACATGTATATTGTTGCAATATTCTTGAAGTTTCTCCATGAGTGCTGTAAATATTCTACTGAGGAAATAGCGCGTAATTTTTGAATTGCCCTTGACGTGTTTTTCTAGTAAAATATCCAAATATCAAACAGATGAGTTAGTCTCCGTGGGTTTTTTTATTCTTTCAGGCTCCTTGTGTTGGGTTATAACGAGTCGACATATGAATGAAAGTAACTATTATTAATTAATAATAATACGTCTCTATGTATCGAAATGTTGGATTGAAGGTCTTAGCAAGTGGTTACTTCTTCTCACGTAGAAGTTTTAAAATAACATGCTTCATAAGAATACACAAAAAAGTCTGTTAATAACGGAGTGTAATTGGTACCCATACAAATTCCAACAAATTGTTTGAAGACCTGATCTCAAAAATTTGAATATAGATATCGTCAATCAGAAACTCGAGCATCTTTTTTATTATCAACAATGTTTTAATTCTTACAATTAATTTGGATTCTACAAAGCCAATTTAACTATATTCAGTTAAAACTACGTGTTTAAATTCCATATCAAAAGCATTAAGAGAGGAACAATATTTTGTGAATTGTGTATTTTTTAGAACAAATTGATCATTTTTTCCTCTTTCAGAGTATTTAAATAAATGTTTTTTTGGATTCCTATATTTACATGCAGCCTGCCCATAGAGTTATTTTGTGCAGTGCAATGTTTTACACTAGTTGTAAATAAATTATCTATAAAATAAACTGTCAAATATTTGATAAATATATAGCATATATATTGAAAGAATGGAGGAAAAAATCCTAATTTAAGCTTAAAATTAGCACTTATTTAGTAATATCTACTAACATCACAGACCCCCACTTTTTATTTTCTTTTCTGAATATGTACGACAATTTTAACCAGTCCTCTTAAATTTAGCAAAATGTCATTACAAATGTCATCTTTGGGCTTGTTAAATTTTTAATGCCAGAAAAATGAAAATGTTTGAGTGCAAAAAAAGTCAAATAATTGAACATGCGGAGTAATACGAAAATTTCTTCATTGTCACAAATTTTAATGTATCTATTTAAGATGAAATAAGACTGTGTTTGTTCTCATAATTTATTTGAACAAAAAATATTGGAGGAAAAACATTTTTAATACTAGTAAATGGTTTATGTAAAAGACACATTTACAGTAAAAAAGAAAAAGGTCAAACTAAATGCTCTGTGGCGCCAAACGAAGGGTATTGGTCCCCAATTTTTTTATTTTTAATAAAGCATGTGTATTGTATAAATTCTAAAAATTATAGTTTCTACTTTATAAAAAATCTCAGTACTTTTGATGGAAGAATCCGACCTCCTTAAACGAGGTTTTTGTCTCCCCGTAACATCAACTTATCAGTGAGTAGCATGCATTGCTTTAGAAATTTATAGTTCTCAGAACAATTGAATAAGGTGAGAGACATAAACACCATTAAGAGGTTATAGTGGACTATTACTACATTAATAAGGAAAGTTGGAGTGATAGAAAAGCTTAATTGATCTTGTTTGTCATACAGATTAGATGTTTACTCCATGTAGGCCCCTGTCACACCTCTGGAATTTCAAATTTTTCAAAGGAAAGGTTTCAACAAGGCTGTTTTTTGGCCCATGTTTTTTGTGAAAAATGAAATAAGATTGCCAACAATTTTAAACTTACTTTCATTATTTTCAACATGTTTAATTTTGTGCTGTGTATTTATTTTGGGAGAAAAAAGTTAGGATAATATTGGAATAAATGATCAAAGTATGGTACCCTCAACCGCTTTAACATTGAGTATATGGGAAAATGTTGGAGGGTTATGATGTTTAACCTTCTAGTACACCACGTGTTGCATTCTGAACCAAAACCATAATTTGATGATTAATTACTTATATGTACAGAAAGATTATACTGAAATATGGTTGTGGTTCGCAATGCAACACACACTTAAATACAAATGACTTTACAAATTTTGCAATCTGTTGAGTTGTGGTTAATTTTATTCAAACACTTAAAGTGAATCATACACATTTATAACATTCTCCAGTCAATCAAACAGATTACTAGGAATTCGACCCTAGCCCTGGGGTATACTTTTTCACCCTTGTGTTTCTGTCAAGCTGTCTGTGTGTCTGTCTGTAACAAATTTTCTTTGCATATTTTCGGCAACTACTCATAGTAGATGATTGGGGCTTTTTTGCAGGTCAAAAGGAGACAATTATTTTTGCATGAAAACAACGTCAATTTTCTGTTTATCTCTGTGTCTGTATGTACCAATTTCTATCACGGTTTTCTCAGCGAATACTCATTGCAGATTCTTGAAATTTTAGTACACTCTTCCTTTAGGTATGCCATGTTATTGTGAGATTGATTCATGAGAGTCAAACAGAGTGGGGTTTTACTATTTAGTACTGGCTTGTCCTTTATACCTGTATTAAAATCATACGATGAAATCAAACATGAAAGAAAAATAATTGATTATATTATAACATGCCTTTGTGTCTATCTGTGAGGAAAACCAAAAACTTTGACACTAGAGACGGTAGTTTCAATATATAAAGACCAAGGTCAGACTTATTGTTTCACAGAAAACAATATTAATTATTTAATGCAAATCAAGGTCAAAGTTTCTTGATTTGGGTATGTTGCCGTTTCACAGATTAAATATACATTTTTTTTCTGTTTAGTAACCAGCTCCTTTCACCTTAATTATTAACTTAACTTAATGTGAATTTGAATTTTACAAAATGTTGATGATGCAGTTTGTGCCTTGATCTGTCCTAAATTTATTGCCTATTAATACTTTACTCCTTGATCAAAGGTGATTTGTGCAAGTTCAAAGGGGCACATGTACATGCGATTACAAAAACATTTTGAAAAAAAATTAAGGTACGTTTCACACAAAAATGGGAACAGACATTAAATCAAAGTATATATCTTTAGAATTAAAATGAATGTATATAAAATGAATTTTGATAAAAGACACATCTCAGATTTTGCACCCAATATCTATAAACAAAATAAAATAAGTACATATAAATTATGTTTAATGCCCGTGTTCAGTGTACACTTACAGAATCAGTTCTTTTTTAATCGCAAAAAAATATTTTTAATATTGATTACAATTTATTGATAAAAGATTTTTTACACTTCCTTTGTGTCTATCTAAACAAAATACTATTAAATCGATGTACTTACTTATAATGCGTAGAGGTCTTTTTTCTACTTTACACTTGTAAGAATATGTATGGCTCGCAAGCACAGTTATATTTTAAATGATTTGTCTCATTATATGATATATCTTAATATTGAAAGCTTTTCTTTATTTATAATTGAT